TGGATGAGGAGGGCTTCAGGTGGGATATATCTCAAAGCATGTTTTAGATGTTCAAGGTGTGGTTCATAGGGAAGGACATGGACAGAGGCAGAGGTATAAACATGCAGAGAGTGTGTGGTAGTCTCTAATGCATTCTAGGTACCTGGGAATATTGCACTTCTTCTTTTGTCCCTTTTACTTTGGCGGAGCCGTGTGACTAGTTTAGGATAGTGAGTTGGAAGCAAAAGTGAAATATCACTTCTGGGCCGAAGCTTTTAAGAGCTTGTTTGAGACTGTCCAAAGCTCTTTTGTCCTTCTGGAACACACTGGCAACATCAGAAATGATGACTGTTCGGTCAGTCTGGTGAACATAGCACTCCATCAACCCTTGATGCACATGGACATGAGTGAGAAATATGCTTGCTTTTTTCAAGTCACTGAGATTTTGGATTGCTTGTTACTTCCTATAGCCTAGTCTATTTCTCTAATTCGTTGCAAAATTAAGAAGTAAATATGGTGTGTCTGCAATATACAATACAGGATATCTGATGGGCTTGTTGGGAATGGAGGAAAATGAGATTGGAAATATGGGCAGGACCAAATTATGAGAAACTTTGTCACTATTGCTGGGAAGTTAGATTCAAATTGCTCCAATAAGTCAGAGTCTGCTGCTTTAGTACTAACCCTATACTCCCTGTTGGAAGTTTCTGTGGTGGCTCACTGGGTAAAGAGTCCACCTGCAGGGGACTCTGCAGAGTCCCAATGCAGGGGACGTGGGTTTGATCCCTGAGTCAGGAAAATTGCCTGGAGAAGGAAATGGCAACCCACTCCAGTATTCTTGCCTGGGAGATCCCATGGACAGAGGAGCCTGCCAGGCTACAGTCCCTCGGGTGGCAAAGAGTCGGACGTGACTTAGTGACTAAACAACAACAACAAACTATCTTTCCTGTAAGCTTAAGAGGTCTGGATCCAGAAGAGTTAGAGGACAGGCTGGGATGGATGTGGCCCAGGGAGTGTGGACGGGGTATGGCCCTCTGTCTGTTGCATTCCAGGTATGCTGTGCAAAAGAAACAGAGAAAGATGGGTTTGTCTTGGGATGAGTGTCTCTTCATCAGTGATTCCTCCATGTATCCTATTGACCTTAAGCTAGACCTTTCAGGTCAGAAAGCTTGGCGTTTGTGTTAGCATTTAAAAAATTTGAATTATTTGAGTTCACCCATTCTCCTGCTTCCTGTTCACTGGATCCCAATCTGGCACTGTTTATTGCAGCTTTGGATTTTCTTTTTCTGCTCTACTGTTCCTTTTTAGTCTTGTTTCCCATCGCACATTGCCACCTCTCACATTCTCCATGCAGCCTACTCACCAGCAAACCAGATTGGCCAGTGTCTTCCCAGATGTCCTAGTCTCTGTGACTTCATTTACACAGTCCCCTGCGTCCAAGGCCTCAGAGTGGGATGTTTGTTATCGCTGAAATTCTACCCATCCTCTAGGATCCAGCAGTTCATTTGCTATTTTTTTCATGGAGCTTCCTGTCTTTTTTTTTTTTTAGCTTCCTGTCTTTAGAGGGAATTCATCTCTGACTTCTCTGGGCTCTTCCTTCTCTTTTAGGACCCTGAATTCACTGAGATGTTGCTTTAGGGGTATTTGGGGGCATGACCAGACCCAAAGATCAAGGCAAGAACTTTGTCTTGATTATCTTAGCAGTCCTCCTAGGACTTAGCAGTGCTTTGAACATATTGGGCATTCATATTTTAAAAAATTGGAAACCTTGAAATTGGAGGCCTTTTAACTGAAAGCATAAAAACATTAATGGAAAGCTTTGTCTAATTTCCTCTGCCTTATTCCTTTGGAGGCTGTCTGTTAGGCACATAGCCTTCCCTACTACACCTCCCAATTTAGCACCAACACCAAATGTCCTTCTCTGAAAGACTATTTTCTTCAGATAGTGATAAAGATGTTTAGTCAGAACAGAGTGAACATCAGCTCCTTTGGAAGAAAGACTATGCACTGAAAGTCAGTAAACAGAAGATGAACATTAGTGGAAAGTAATCTCCCTTCTGGGGGCAGGCAGGGTGGAGAGCAGACAATGTAGAGAAGAAAGTATGCCCCCCCAACCCATTTATAATGGTACACATTATAAATGTGTACCAAAAACAACAGAGTGATGTTTAACTTAAGGAAGGGGAGTTGCAGCAAACTCAGGTAAAAAAACAATCTTAAATACAAATATTTAAGAATTTAAAGTAGCATATAAATGAGATATTCTAAGCTTTAGAGGAAATAGCCCATTCTTTGACAAAGATGGGGATATTCCCTATGTAGTACTTTCTCTCTATCCAGACACAAACAATAGCTTTTCCTTTGTGCCACTCCTATTGGAAAAATAGCTCGAAAGTTCAAGTGCCGCTGATATTGGGTTGGTGCTATCCTCTTCATGTAAGAAAGTGCTTCATTGGGAATATCCCATCTTTGCAGAAGGATGGGCTAAAATCTTTTTTGGGACTATTTTTATTCTAAAGCTTCAAATAGCTTTATCACTGGATATGGGTTTTGCAATGAGTGTCAATATGTGTCTATAAGGTATGAATGGCAATATGTGGTGCTACTGAAGTTTTATTGTGTAGAATTGCAAAGTATGTGTGAAAGGTAGAGCTAGGAGAGGTGTTAGATTAATTTTCAAGTTGTGTTTATCCCAAAGGAAAGTATTTTGATGCTGTTAATATGTGTGCTACTTATTAGGGAAGACATTACTTTTTAAAAAGTATAATTTATTTAACTGCAATAGGTCTTAGTTGTGGCATGCAGGATCTTTTTCAGCTGTAGCATGTGAACTCTTAGTTGCTGCACATGGGATCTAATTCTCTGACCAGGGATGAAACCCGGGCCCCCTGCCTTGGGTATGCGGAGTCTTAACCACTGGACCACCAGGGAAGTCCTGAGATATTACTTCTTGACTTGCTTTCCAGTGGTTCGAGTAGCCATTAAATAACTTGATAAATGAAACAATATATTATGTATTAACTAGCCTAATGATCCAGATGGTCTGCTAAATGATAAATCTGTGGGAGAATAAAGTGGTAGATATTTTATATGGGGTGGTCAAGGACATTGGAACTGAGATTTTAATGACAGGAAATAGTCATTTGGGGATGAAGGAACTCTCTAGGCAAGGTTAAGTATAAAGGCCTCAAAGTGGAAATGAGCTTGGCCTGTGAGAAGACCAAAAAGAAGTCTACTAAGGCTGGAGCAGAGGGGCCTGTGCAGAACAGTAGGACATGTGGTTGGAGAAGGGTACAGATCAAGCAGTACTTTGTAAGTCAGGATAAAGAATTTAGATTCAGTGCTTAGTATGAGGGGGCTTTCCAGGTGGCACTAGTGGTAAAGAATCTGTTTGCCAACTTAGGAGACATAAGAGATTCAGGTTTGAACCCTGGGTGGGGAAGATACCCTGGAGAAGGCATGGTAACCCACTCCACTATTCCTGCCTGGAGAATCCCATGGACAGAAGAGCCTCATGGGCTCCAGTCCATAGGGTCGGAAAGAGCTGGACACAACCTAAGTGACTTAGCACACATGCTTAGTATGGAAAGTAATGGGAAGCCATTAATGTACTTTAAGGGGAAAAACACTCTGCTTGGGGGTGACTTATGGATTAGAGGAAAGCAAGAGAAGATGGAGTGGCAGCTGGGGGTAAGCACAAAGTAGGTTGGGGCAGCTGTCCAGAACTGGGGTGGTATCAACGGGGCTGGGCAAGAGTGGATAGATTCGGGAGCAGTTAAGAGAAAGTGGGTGTGGTGAAAGAAGCCAGATGGGCAGACAGGTGGGATAAGCCTCTAGGTAAGTGGGAAAACATCTCCTATAGGAATTTCATTTCCATTTAGACTGTAGGGACTCCAAGCTCTGAAAAAAATGTCTTCTGCAGTCACTGAGGACCTGGCTCACCATTGACTTTTGATCTTTGAAGATAACTCCATAATTAGGTTGTTGCATTTTCCCCACCCTCTTTGCTTTCTCTCTAGTCAAACTTCTTAGATTTCAGGGGGGCAGTGAGTAGGGGTGGTTCTGAGGATGGCCACGTTTGACCTGAAGAAAAACCCACAGTCTCTTGTTTGGTCAGCCTCAAAGGCTTGGCGCTAATTGTGCTAAGGGCCAGGGGTTTTACATACCTAATCTATCATTCCATTCTCTTGAAAACATTGTAAGGTACATTTTGAAATTCCAGTTTTCCAAAACAAAGACAAAGAACGGGTGAGGCTCAGATATTTTCATCATTTTGCTCAAAGTCACACAGTTTGTAAGGGTAGAGCCAGGACTGAAGCCAGAACGGGGCTCCCTACATTCTCCACATCGCTACTGAGTTGGGGTTAGTCTGTTTTCCTTTGCTTCTCATTACCACACAGGCTCCATCAAAGAACCCAGTAGGAGAAAGGCCGTGATTTTCCTCTCTCTCTCTTTTTTATGGACTGTATTTGCCTCCCCTCCACCACAGAGTGCCTAGTAAGGTGCTCAGCAAACGTTCGTGCCTGCAGGCAACACCGTTTTCCTGGGGCCGCAAACGGGGCTGGGGTGAGGAGTGAGGCAGTGCTGTGAGGTGGACCGCGCTGCTGCCGCGGCTGCCAGGTGATGGGGAGGGACGCTTCAGTCTGTGCCTTGACTCGAAGGCATTTTCCATTTCCTAGTCCCCTCCCGCTCTCCATCCCTCACCTCTCGCCCCTGGACTTCAGCTCAGGCCCCTCTGGGAGCGTCCCTCGCCGCGGGGCTGACAGCACTTGGGGGCGCAGGGTCCCGGTTCTCCGAGCTCTTGCCCATCTGTGCGCAGAACCTCGTTCCGGGGCGTCTGGAGCCCGGCGGGCATTGACGTCAAGCGGCGGCGAAGCGCTGCCTACAGACGGTTGACCCGGACCCTCCTCCACACCCCCTTGCTTCCTTCATCGCCCCCTCCTTCTTCCCTGAGCCCCGGCTCAGGCTCGCTATAAAAGGTGGGAGCGCGGGGTGCCCGAGTAGCGCCGAGTTTCAGCACCATGGAGAGCCCCCGCCTGCGCCTGCTGCCCCTCCTGGGCGCCGCCCTGCTGCTGCTTCCTTTGCTGGGCGCCTTAGCCCAGGAGGACGCCGAGCTCCAGCCGCGAGCCCTGGACATCTACTCCGCCGTGGAGGATGCCTCCCATGAGAAGGAGCTGGTCGGTACCCCCCTCGCCCCTGACTCCCAGGGCTTTGCTGCGAGGTTCCTTGCTTTGTATGCGTCTCTCTCTCCCTGCCTCTCCACCCCGATTCCCAGAGTCAGGGTCCGGGGAGGTGGGCACAGATCCCCGGCTCCCGCTCTCACCCGAAGAACGTTCTGAGCCCACGGGCTCCAGATAGTCTGTGGAGCAACTGCCTGATCCCGGCTCCTCGGAGCAACAGGAGTCTCCGCGGCTCCTGGCCCTGCGGTCAGTACGTGGGACAGCGCTCGCTAAGTTTCCACCCCTCGAACGTCTGTCCCTCCTTGCGGAGTCCAGGGGAGGAGTGTGTGGTGCCCCGGTTCCTTATAACTAGGGCTGGAAGTGAGCACCTGGGCTGGGCGCACAGCCAAGGCGGCAACTTGGGGATCCGGGGGGCGGTGTGTTGCAGATTGAAGCGCTGCAGGAAGTTCTGAAGAAGCTCAAGAGTAAACGCATTCCAATTTATGAGAAGAAGTATGGCCAAGTCCCCATGGTAAGGCTTCGGGGTCACCCCTCCCCATGCGTTTCCACGAGGAAATGCATCCCCTTGACCCTTAGACACCAGCTTCTCCCCAGGATGTGGCTATTCATTCAGATAATGGGTTTGCAGAGTTCCGTGGGCTCCCCCTTTGCTTCCACCGTGTCAACCCTTTCCTCTTGGTCTCTAAAGATAAGAGTAGATTGGCCATTCCGGAACATCGAACAGCTGGTGCCAGGAATCTGCCCTTGGGTTTCTGTGGAAAGCAGTATTTCCTGAAAATATGCTTTTTTTTTTTAATCTCCCAAAGAATTCTCTGAGTGGAAGAGTCTTTGAATCTAGTCAATTCTTGCTCCTGTAATTTACTTCCTACCTTCTGAAGCACTGCCAGTTTTTAAAAACCTAAGTTGATGTAAAGAATCTTGATTCCTGTCTGTTCACCTTCCTTGAATAACACACACACACACACACATTTTAATCTTTTTTTCTTGGGATGAGAAGGTGGACACAGGGAGCAAAGATTGTGAGGTCTATTGTTTATTTCTTAGATGAAAAGGTCTGGTTGAATTTTTTTTTTTTTTTTTTTAATGAGCAACTGAAGGACCCAGCAAAGGTAACTTCCCTGAAAAAAGGTAGAAGACAGTAGGAGGAGTTCAATAATTTAAATTTCATTCTTTTTATGTTCTCTCTCTCAAATGATAAGCACAAGGCTCTCCTTGTTTCAAGCCTGACTATACTTAGACCCACGGTGACGGTGGTAGGGTTCATTTCCCTCCCCAGAGGCAGACTTTGTGACGGGGAGACTCGCCTGTTGGGAACACAGGTGTGCTTGTGCGGCATGACTACATGTTGTGTTGTTCGCAGTGTGACGCGGGAGAGCAGTGCGCCGTGCGGAAAGGAGCTAGGATTGGGAAGCTGTGTGACTGTCCCCGAGGAACCTCCTGCAATTCCTTCCTCCTGAAGTGCTTATGAGGCACCCACACTTCTCCATAAGCCCCCTCCCCACTTTCCCCAGGGGACCACACCTTCATCCCTGGAGTCTGGCTTTAGCAACAAAGTTTGCGTTTCCCTCTAAGGAAAAGGGGGCTCTCTTCCTGCTGTTTCCAAATAAAAAGAACACATTAGATGTTACTGTGTGAAGGGTAATGCCTTGTATGGTGTTGATATGTGTACAAAGTATTCTATTCTTATTTTCTCTGTCTGGCAAACTTTTAAAAGTGGATATTTAAGTAAAGAGGAAGACCTTCACTTTGCAAATTGTATTTTTGTAGGTGGCATGACAGGATGAAAATTAGATCAGGTAAAATTTTGACAGATGACATCACAACCTGGAAAATAAATCACCTAAGCATCACAAATTGAAGCATGTACAAATTATACATAATAAAGTGTTTTTCATAATTGCTCATAGTGCATTGTTGTTTCTGCCTAAGTAATTTAAATAGGAAAGGTGGGATTAATCATGCTGTTGTTTTCAAAGAAAAATATTTTAAAAATAGTGGTCCACTGGGAAAACAGCACCAGGACTCCGAGGAGCTTTCATCATTAATTAGGAGTTTGCTGCACAAACTTTGGTACATTATTTTCCTTTGATTGCAGTGGTGTGCGAAGTATGTTTGTGTGTGTGTATGGGTGTATGTGTGGGTGCTGTGTGTGTGTGTGAGGAGAGAGAGAGATGAAATGAAGATGATTGGAGTTGAGTTGATACATTTTGTTTATTAAAACCTTCAGTTAGAACCCTTAAACAAGGAGAACAATAGAAGAGAAAGTATTTCAGCCTTTAGTCACATTAACAGCAATTTGAAAAATTAAGAATTTTGTTTTGACAATTCCTTTATTAGAAGTTATGCATTAGTTAAAAAAGTAGACTCTTTGGAGGTTGTTTTATGTCCAGAGGAAGGTAAATAGCTGTTTTAGGGGCTCTAAGGGTGTGAGACCCAATAATTACCACTGTTTAGTACACAATCTTGGAAATATTCTCAGTTCAAAGGGAAAAATGGTCATTTCAGTAAATAGTTTTGAAGGGAACAAGTGAAATCGATAAGGGCAGGTTCAACTCGAGAAATAAAAAAATCTTAAATGTAAAGTTTAGGAGCCATTAAATGTTTCTGAGTGCTTACCTGAGGTCACATTTCTGGGACTGTAAATCAAACTAAATAATATTTAGCAAGAAGCATCTTGAGAGGAACAGTGGCTTTTTCCTAATGCAAACTCAGGAGGCCCCTGAATAAAAATAGAATGTAAAAATAAAGTCCCTCCACTGATTCTTAGGGACCTAGAATATGGTATTTAAAATATTGCAATACACAATTGCCCTTTACTCTTATTGCCCTTTGCTTTTATTATTACTGTTAGCATGACTGGTCCTCTTAATTATCCTGCAAGATACTATTATCACTTCTTTTTCCCCAGAGGAGGGAGCAGACACCAAGAGAGAAGGCAGGACTAGCTCAATCAATCCTAAATCATGATTTCAGCTGTAATTTCTCCAAAGGTTTATCTTTTCTCTCTGTACCACCCCAGGTAATTGAGCAGGCTGTTTGGACTCTCAAATTGCCCAGAAAACACTTCTTTCTATAATAGAAATTAGATCAATGGATTTTAGGGGAGTCACATTTCCATTTGAATACCAGGCTTAGTTGCGATTGAAATGTGTTGCATTTTAATTTTTAAAAACTGAAAAGAGTAATTAAATAGTTTCATAGTCCACTGCTTTTCCAGAAAGCAGTTCAATTGAAATTCTAATCTTCTTGAGTATCTTAACTCTTCCCATTCGTTTCAGTCCTAGATAAGTAAGATGAGGAAACTGTTTCAATCATTGGTTAGTGCATAGACAAGGCCCTCAGGGATAACACATAGAACTGCTTCCTATTTTACCCTGCAGTGTTTCTCCCCAAAGCAAGAAGTGTTGGAAGAATTTGCAGTTCAAAAAAAAGAATAAGAATATTTTAAGAATATTGTTCTAAACTTCTTTAATTTGTACCCCTCACCATTATCCCTGCTATATCATTCCTCCTTTCTTCTTTTTTTTTTTTAATCCTTCCTTTCTTATTTAATACAACTAAAGTGTGTGGACTTATGAGAGATTGATAAGGGAGAATCTGTGGGCTGGATATGAAATGACTTTGTCTGAACATTTTTTGTAGGGGCCCAGATTTTAAGTTCACAGTTCTAATAACATTTTACACTGGTGGTGGCAACACTTAATCTTATAAGATTAAGTATAAGAGCGTCTCTTCAAATAGAATGTCTTAATATGTTTAATGATTGAAGGTCCCTGTGGAGAGGACAAGAATGTTAAAGATCAAGAAAGCTGAAATGAGCAAAGTTGTTGCCCATATGGAAGCTTCCATATATATATATATATACCCTAGAGACTTTCTGTGCGTGAATAGTGGGTGCTTGCCCAGTCATGTCTGACTCTTTGTGACTCCTTGGGCGTAGCCTGCCAGCCTTCTCTGTCCATGGGATTTCCCAGGCAAGAATACTGGAGTGGGTTGCCATTTCCTCCTTCTGAGACTGGCTGAAAGATCGAGGATCTGAGAATTGACAAGCTCCTCCATCTGAAGATCTGAGGAATGATAAAGCATAGGAGTGGAGCAATGGTTCTCACAGGAGCCTGGGGATGACATGTGAAGATTGCTGTGTGACTTTTCTCAGTTGCACACAACTGTTCCTCTTCCTATGGTGATTACTGATATTATACCCCTTACCCTATGCCAGAATCTGCAGGGCTCTGAGGGACCCATATTCTATTTGTGTACCTGTACTCTCTCCCAGTCCAGAAAATGGCACAACTGACTCTAGGCATTGGCAGAGAGTCTTTGCTTGACCCAACTTTAGTTGGGCTCCTGAATCTCGTCCTAGACCCATCTGTGTACTTCCTTGCAAAATATAATATCACCGAGAGCCCTGCTGAGTCAGTTTATCAAAAAATCCCCCACCCTGGACATCTGATCACTCTCCAAGTATGATCAAGTTCCTTACCCTCCCCACCCCCTAGGTGATGTCTGATCACCCTGGCCCCGCCTTCACCAAAGAGCTTGTTAGGTCAGTTTAGCTTGGGTCTCCCCTTTTACCTCTTAGTAACTTTCCATTCACAGACCTCCCACCTGTCCCTAGGCTGTAAATTACTACTTGCTCATTTGGACTTGCGCCCCCTTCTGTACCTAAGTCTCTTTCCCCTTATGGCAATAGTCCTGAATAAAATTCGTTTTTATGGCTTTAACTACTGTCCAGCTATAGCTTTTTTTTTTTTTGACAGTGTGAAGTGTAGTTAGGGAAGGAGGTTTAGGATTGTTTAGTTTAAATAAGAACCTCAGATGGTTCTGCTAAGCTTCCTCTTCCAGAACCACTAACACTGAGCTAATTTTTAACATAATTCATTCATTCCACACTTTTTCAAGTATTTCCATGTGCTAGGTACTGAAAACATAATGGCAAGTAAGATAGATATAATTCCTGTTCTCATAGAGTTTATAGTCTAGTGATTGACAGTCCAGCAGCAAGAAAAATTAATAACAAAAATTATAAGCCATGAGAAATTCTATGAAGGACCTGGTGGTATCAAAAAGGCAGTCAGGAAAGGTGATATTTGAGCTGAGAGTTGAAGGGTAAGAAGCCAATCATGTCAAAGACAGAGTGGTTGGAAAGAGAAGAAATGACAAAGGGCTTCAGGCAGATGTTATGACATATTCAAAGGCAGGATAGATGTCGACATGCTTGAGGAACTGAAAGAAGACCCAGGACTCTTAGCAGATGAATGCCAGGTGAGGAGAGGCACAAGTGGTTATCCCTGTTAGTAGTTCTTTGGGTTCCCTTGGGTGTACACAGTTGCCTTGATCAGGTGCCAGGTGATATTAGTGGATATTCATAGGTCACGGATATTTCATGGGAAGGTAGGACTGAGAGTAAGGAGGGGGTTGTCTTGGCATAAACTTTCAGTATTCTTTGTCTCAGTGATGGATGATAGAATTTTCTTACTTGGCTAATGTGTTTACTGTTGGTTTCCTTTACCTTCCTAAGCATGTGTCTGCTCTTCAGGGTATCTAGTCTTGAGGATCTGTCAGCAAAATTATTTTGACTTGAAAATAATTTGTGTGAATATTTCTAGCTGGTGTTCCCAGCACTATTGAGAGGAAGAATCAGCAGAAAGGAAGAAGTTAAAAATTTAGAAGAAAAGAGAGATAATTGATGAAGCAAACTCTTGGTCAGAGATGAGGGGATAGGATTCAGAGCCAAGAAAAAGATTAGTTTGTAGGAAGAGTGGGAAGGTGGGAGAACATGGTGTAGACAGATACAGGTGACTTTGTAGGTATGATGGCAAGAAGTTGGGGTGGTTATTTAATGGCTTCTGTTTTCCAAGGGAAGTAGGATGTAAAGTTTTCTGCTGAGGAGGAGATGAAGCAAATTGTCCATTCAGTAATTATATGCACACAATATGGAAATTGATAATAGCCAGGTCTCTGCCATAATGTGAGAGATTCACCATATGATGTGATACATCAAATGCTAGACAGAGAGAAAAATGAATTTAGAAGACACAAGTGGTATTCGAATATTCTTTGAAGAATGTATATTTAAAAAGATGACGATTGGAAAGACTTAGTTAAGGCGTGGGAAATAGTGTGAATGAAAGTGCATAGGGAAAAGGGCATGCAGGAAGAAATAACTTGAGTGCTGAGTCCATTGGTGTCCACATGGGGTAAACCAGTGAAGGAGGAGACAAGGGTGCTCAGGGCGTGGGGTAAGGGCCCAGGCTTTATTCCTGGTAGCAGAATGACATGGTTAGGGCTGTGTTCTAGGAAGCTCTCTGCACACTAAGAGAGGGACCAGAGAGGCAGCCAAGAGCACAGAAAGGCCAGGCAGGAGGCTGTCACAGAAGTCTAGGAAAGATGTGATGAGGGCTTGGAGAGATAAGAGCAGTAAGAATGGACGGGAGTGACAAGAAAAAGATAACTTTCAGGGGAAAG